CAGCCTTTTTATTTGTGATTGTTCATTTTTCTCTGGCTGCTCTCACAATCATTTCCTTGTCTTTACTTTGGCAGTTAGACTTCAATATATTGTCTCTTTTTCTTTTGGGACCCATCCTGATTGGGGTTCTGTCAGTTTCCTCGATAATCTTTTTCATCTTTTATGTAGTTAGGAAATTTTCTTCCAGGAGTTCTTAGACTAGTGTCTTGTGGATCATTTCATTTCTTTATCTTCTGGCATTTCCTTAAGTTGTAGATTGTTCTAGATTGTGTCCAACTTCGTTCAAATGAAGGACAATTATGTTAAATTTCTTTAAACACACGAGAAAAATAACACAATATAACAAAACCTTTGAGCTGTTCTTTTATAGTGTTTATAATTCTGTTAGCATAGCATTTGACTCATGAGTTTCTCTTAGTTCTTCTTGTAATGTCTGTAATGAAATAGCATTTCTATTTTTCCCTTTTTTTCTCTCTCATACTTTTTCTTCATCTGTTGCACATGTGCAATCATCAATCTTCTGAATTATTTTTTCCAATAATTATTACATATCTTGTTCAGTTTCAGTCATTTCTTTTAGGTCTGGGTTGTTTATTTGTTCCTGTCTGTTGTGCTTGTTGTTTTTGGTGTGTGTGTGTATAGAGCACTATTTTCTGTTGTTTCATTGGCATCTTGGTGTAGCTGTTCGGGGTGACAGGGAGATTGGATTGTGTGGGGGTAGTTAGCTCTGTTGAATGGTATAATAGAGGAGCACTAGACACTTCAAACAGATAGCAAGGAAGGAAGAGTAGAGTAGAAGATATGGGAAAGATACAAATAATGAAAAGGAAAGTAATAGAGGTGAGAGGACAAAAAAGATCAAGTAGTGTGAATTTGGGGATTGTAGAAAAAAAATCCTTATTTTCAAAGGGTTGAGAGAAAGGATGATACTAGTTGAAAAACAATTATAAAAGTAGTAAAAGCTTTTGTCTTGAAGAGAAAGATACTAAAGGAAAAGGAAAAGAACTAAAGGAGGGGGGTGGGGAGAAAAGAAAAAAGGAAAAGCTATTGGTGTTTGGGGTCTAAACTTTGCCCAGCAGGGTTGTGTCTAGTGTCTGAGGAGAGAAAGATGTGCTCACAGAAGAAGCGGGGGAAGCATAGGTGGATTCAGGACTTGAACTAGAAACACAGGGTGAGAATCAGTTGAGTAGTTACAGTCAGTGCCTGTAGGCCAGTGACTTCACCTGGCTGTGTGCTTGGGATGGCTGTAATGTTTAGATTCTACAATGGCCTGGAAATCAGGGGCTTGGCATGGGATGAGTGGCTATAGAGAATTTTCTCAGGGTGGTCCAGGCCTGAGTGGGTGTGAAGGGCGTTGATATTCTGTCAATTCCTACAGCCTTGCCTTTTGCTAATGCCCCGAGTGCAGTTTCCACAGTATGATCAATTGTTTATCATAAACTACCTCCTCATTTAGTTGCATGTCAATCAATTCTTTTTGGTACAGTGACTCTGTATTTCTCGTTTTGCCAATAGAATCCTTCTGTATTTCAATTGTTAGTTCTGTTAACTTGAGAAATGAGTGCATTCTTTCCTTTATGTTTCCTAGCCCCAGGTCTCTGCACATTTCATTGTGATACTTTACTTCTCAAGTCCCCCTTTTGAAATTTTCTGTCCAACTCCTACTTCCTGATGTCTTCCATTAGCCTTAACTGTAAAAGAACAAGCCAAGTCACTTGGGTTTGTTTTACTTGCGTCAAAACTCAATGTTTAAGAGCAAGTTTCAGCTTTTCTTCTAACATCCATTTTGTTCTCTTTTTTCTTTACTGTATTTGTAATAACCTTTTACTTTATTTATGTACTCTGGCCCTATTTGGTCCCACAACTTGTCTGGTGTACACTCATCAATCTTCAAAGTGTCAAGAAAACATTCTTAAGATGTTTTCTAGAGCTGTATGAGCCACCAATAAAATTATTTTTTAAATTAAAAAAGATGTTTCTAATTTCAGGTGGGACATACTCAAGGTCAAACTTCGCCTTTTGTGAATGTTTTAATTCTCTTGCACATGAGAAATGTATGGTCCATTCTGCAATCAGCTGTTGGCCTGGTTCTGACTGATCATACTGAGATTCTGTAGTATTTCTTCCCATAGATATAGTTGATTTGATTGCTGTGCACTCCATTCAATGAACTCCTGTGCATAATCATTGTTTATGCTTTTGAAATAGTATATTTGCATTGAATATATAATTTAGCTTGTAAAATTCTCTCATGTAATCTTTAGGGTTTTTTCCCTCCATTTCTGTTATCAAGGAGATATAGTCCAACTATGAATACTTCTTTTTATCCAATTTTGGCATTCCAATCACTAACAGTTATCAATACATATTGAATGTCAATGTATGTTTGATCACTTTCAGATGTCAGAAGTTGGTAAAAGAAATCTTCAACTTCATCTTTGGCCTTATTGGCTGATGTATAAACTTGACTAGTAGTTACATTTAATGGTCTTTCTTATGGGTATGTAGACAGAAAGCATTGTATTTTTAAAAAGACTTTTTAATTATTTTTTTAGATAGTGGATATAATACTATTCTTTTAATTGGTCATTCTTGACATCAAAGACCATCTGTGTGTGAAATTCAATATAGCATTCCTACGGCATAGGACATTGAACTTCATGTGTTCCATTTCCATTTTTATATCTTCTAGTTTTCTTTGATTCATAGCTGGTACCGTTTATTTCCCAGTTATTAATGGATGATTTCAGCTCTTTTATCTCATTTTCAGCAATGCTCCATCAGCAAAGGAAGACCCTGAAGCTTTGCTCCATTCACCTTGTTAAGATCATTCTGTTTAGAGGAGACAGCCCTTCCTCAGTTGTATTTTAACACTCCGCCTTCCCTCTGCAGTGGCTCAGCTTTCAGCATTGTATCAGACAGTGGTCTGTTTTCACTGCACATTTCAACTTTTCACTGGACAGTGTTTCTGTTTTTGTTTTTTTGTTGGAAGTAGATTGTCAGGATTTTCTTCCCAGTATGCCTTATGCCTGGCCTAGAAGTTTCTCTGAAACCTTCTCTTCATAGGTATTTGAATACTGGTAGCACAGTGTCCAGAATCATAGCAACATGAAGCCATCACAACATGACAAACAGGCAGACAAATGAGATAAAAATAGACGTCCCATCACAAATTAAAACAGTAGCCCAATACAAATGGTCCCCTGATGCTTTTTGAGATAAAAGCTAAGAATAGGTGTCAAGTATGGATGTATCACAGAGTTTTGGGTTATATTATGAGTTTGAAGACCTGTCTGATAACGAATGACCATAATGTAGGAAATATATAAAAATGAAATATTCCTCAGGCTTTGGTGCTTTTTAATAATATTTTCTTCCCTTATTACATATAATTACGTACTTTATTTATTATTTTCCATTGTCCAAAAGGTAGTTAAAGGCAACAGAAATCCCTTTTCATACATTAATATATAGACTGGGTCAAAATATTTCATCTAACTTGCATTGGTTCTTTGCATTAGAATATCTTTATGAATAAATACAGTAAAGCACACAGATGAATAGAACATTTCCTGTGCAAAAATTTTGCCAGGTTGGGTCTGTGTCTGGCCACTTGACATTGCAGAAAGAGCTTGGGCTTGATAGTGCTAGAGTGAGCCTTATAGTGCTAGAGTGAGCCCTGAATAAAGCTGTGATCTTGGATAAAGTATTTAACCTATCTGCATCCCAGTCCATTCATTTAAAACTGGTGCTTCTAACAGTTAAACTGTTGTGCGATTATGAGATTTTAAACATGGTAAATCACATCATGTACCTAGCCCAATATTTCCCACAGTCATATAAATTTAAAATAAATGCCTATTCTATTATGTTTCCCATCAAAGCATGCACTTATATCTACACTTCCCCCAGGTGCACACAGCCACTGTCTGCAGGTGAAACCTACTTGTGATTTTCAATTGTGCTGCCAAAGAGAAATTGTTTGGTAACCTTAAAAAATGGAAGGGCAAATTCTTCATTCATAGACTACTGACTTAGATTGACATGACACACTACATTCCAAACAAAAAACAGACCGCTGCTGTTGAGTTGATTCTAATTACTAGTGACCCTATAGGAGAGAGTAGATCTGCCTGCCCCCTTTGGATTACATTGTCTGTCCGTCTTAAGGCAGCAAGCAGTCTTCATCCTCCTCCTACAGAGTCATTGGGTCTGTGACCCCATGTATGGTACGACACTCCAGTGATCCAAAGAGGGACTTTCAAGATTGTTGCTGACATTTTGCAAATGTGACCATTTAGAATGAACGATGTAAGGGGCTTGCCACCAACGAGAGACTTAACAGTAGAAAGTTAGGCCTGGTCCCCGGGTAGACTTTGACCAGTGTGGTTAGGCTGGTGAGACCTGAAGTCAGGCTGGCGAGGGATGAGAATGAGGGCAGAGCCAGATTGTGCGGCAGTCTGCAATCCAGGTGTGCCTTAGTTTCATCACCGATGGCACGATGACAGTACTGGCGTCATGTTCAGAACATGCTTGTCAAATAAAATATGTAAATAATCAGGGGAGTGCCTGCAGCAGAGTGACTCCTTGGTAAATACTTGCTATTGTAATAAGCCTGTGGCACTCCCGAGATAACAAGGAGGTGCCTAAATGGCTTGCGTGTAAAATTAGTCTCCTTCCTAGGACAAGCAGCACAGATTTTATTTCAAAGTTTTCAGCATTTTTGGCACTGGTAAATCTGAGCACAATCACTAACCCCCCACTTCCCCAATAAAAAAAAGTGAACAAGTAAGATGAATTTCTGGCCTAGACAGAATACAGACTGCTCAGATTTATTCCAATATCCTGAATATTCTTGCCCGGGATCTATTCCTGTGTGCCAGGGCGAATTCGATGTATCTGTTGAATGGGGAATGTGCTTGCTTTTTTGGTAAGCATATTTTTTAACTACATGAAATGTCTCCCCAATTTAAAGTTGTCCCTTTTTGACCTTGCCCTAGGAACGAACTTCACCCTGGCGGAACTGGGGCTCTGTGAGCCCTCTCCACACCGTGGTGGCTACTGCTCGGACCTGGGGATGCTGCACCAGGGCTACTCCCTGAGCGCAGGGTCGGACGGCGACTCGGACACGGAGGCGGGGCTGTCTCCAGAGCACGCCATCCGACTGTGGGGCAGAGGGGTGAAGTCTCGGCGCAGTTCCGGCCTGTCCAGTCGGGAGAACTCAGCCCTTACCCTGACCGATTCGGACAACGAAAATAAATCGGATGAGGAGAACGGTAGGCCTGCTCCTTAAATACCTTTTCATGTTCTGCGCACTGCCTAATGCGGGGTTTGGGATTTGTGTTTTGTTTGTTTTTGTTGTTCAATATAAGACGCACATAAGACTATTCATTTTCTTTTGAATCTACCTAGTCCACCTACTCGGAGCTGGCAGGGGGGCGAAGGGAGGGGGGAGTGGTGGTGGCAGGTGGTAGTGGAAATAAGCCAGCAATCTCAAGCACACAAGAAGAGAATTTTAAAATCAGAGTTTGATGATAACACAGCATTCCAGGTAGAGGCTGTGGGTCTTATTAGCAAGTAAATTACATTGCAAAAGAGGCAACTTGATAAACTATGACCTATACCTAGAAATGTCCTCTCGCCACAAGTTTCTAGGTCTTTGTATTGATTTCCCCTTCCCAGTAAATGGAAACCGGGTTATTTTTTTTCATGAAGATCTCTTAAGAACCCTACCTTATCTCAGACTTTCATTTCCAGGCGGCAATGCCTCATATCCGTATTGAAGATCAAACTAGGGACAGATGCTCTGGAGTTTAATAATGACAAATAGGAAGAGACTTGTCTTAAAAAATGTTTTCTTATATGTTTACTTTGTCCCTAGGTACCTATGTAGGTTAATGGCTTTCTGCATCTTCTATCAGTAATCACTGTTGCTTATCCATCTGCTTTGTAGGTGGGTTTTAATGAATCTTTGAAAATTAAATGCTTCCGATCATTAAGCAATAAATAGAGAGAAGAAGCCCAAGCAAATCATTAAAGAGATAAGGTGCTTATTTGTGCACTTTTTAGGGACTCAGACGTGTACTTAGTCAAAAGCATTATTTGAAAAAAAAGAAACAGGATAAATTGCATTAGGTACAGCTCGTTTATGAGGAAAACACCAAACGCTATGTGGTTTGGTATGAATATATTGTGGATTTGCTAAAAGAATTACCATTGAAATGTTTACAAATAGATCAGTTAAGACTGTTTATATAAAATATTATAAACTTCTGCTGGAGCAGCCTTAAGTATTTTCTTACATTCAGGAGAGAAAAAGAAATTTGCAGGCTGACAGCTTGTTGTGAATGCAAAAGCATAGCTAAATCACTTAATCTCTAAACTGTGTTGAAACACATCATTTCCTGGGTAAGTTGCGCATATTCAGAAAGATGTCACTTTGTTGCATTTAAATTTATGTTTAATTCTGAAATAATGTATTCTATGGTGGGGACACGGGGATATGTCTGACTTATGCCTCCGTTCATGTAGCTAATCAAGGTGTACTCTCAAAGGGGAAAAAAATTGGTACTTGACTCCTTTGAATTTTAACAAAATTCTGACGCTTGGCACATTCAACACTCAAAAGTACTTATGTGATAGGAAATTACTTTTTAGAACTTTTCATAAAGGCATATGTTGAATCCATTTACTGATGTCCTTTTTCAGCTTAGAGTGTGTCGGTTACTTTTTAAATAGAAGCAGTTTGATAGCTTAATAAATAAAGTCACATATAATCCAAGAAATCACAGCGTATTTTAAGCAAGTTGTTTTAGGCAATCTTCCTTGCTTGGTATGAGTTTCATGGTCATCATTTAGAGAGGAAACTGGTGATTGATAGGTAACTTCTACAATCTCTAACTCTCACCCTCTGTTTAGCTCTATGCATCCCCAAAACTCAACTAACAAAGGGAGGCTTCTAGTGAAGGGAGGGTGTGGGACACATTTCCTTTGGCTTTAGCATGAACTGATGGATGGGAGAATTTTATAATTAACAATGTCTTTGGTAGACAAGTGGCAGTCACTTCTTTCCAATTGTACTTGACATTCCTGTTTAAAGAGTTTTCACCCTGGAGTAGTCTATACAACTCCCATATGTGCAAATGAGAACATAGCTTACACACAGTGTGTCAAATTATCCTGTGATGCGAGTGATAAAGCAGTCGGAATTAGATAAAGGTAAATACTCTGAGAAGCACCAAGCAGCTATCTGTGTATCCGTGTATGGTGGAGCGCAGAGGAGGTACCAAAGCCAGAGTTCAGGTTAGGCGATTGATATTTACTTCCAAGTGTTCAAGTAGAATGCATTTCCTCTTCTCATTTAAATGTGTGTTTTTTTCAATATTCCACACATTCAAAAGATGTACATAATGCATGTTGTACTCTCATTTGGGGCTAGAAATAGAAATAAGAAATTTCACATGTCACATCCTGAACTCTTTAAGCAAATAAAAAGTAAGGCGCAAGCGTCTCTACAAGCCGAGGTGTTAACTTCAGCAAACTTCTTGCTCTTTCTCTCTGACAAATTCTGTTTAGCTCACAAAGAAATCAATGCCTTTTCACATCACTGGTTTTATGAAGTTTGGGAATGTATTATCATATAGATTGACAGTTGCCCCACTGGTTCCACACCGCAGCATGGACACTTACAAAGCCATCATTAATTTCTCACACTTGTACCCAGCAAGGGCTTCCTCCAGAATCAACACTGTGTCCTTCAGAACCGAATCAATAACCTTTTAGGTATGCCTCTTTTGAAGAGGAAGTAACAAGGATCTATACTTTGAGAAAGAAGCTCCCCGATTCAATTTTAGATTTTAAGGATATATGGTCATAAAAGAATTCTTTTCTTCTGTTTCTATGTGTTTCTATTTCATGTTTTATTGTGGGGCCTTTGGGTACAGAGATATGGACAACATCAGTTAATTTTTTTCTGAGAAATAAATCTAGGTTGGCATTTTGCTATGTGTAGTTTGCAAATGAAGACAAATAACCGGAGAGCAATTTTTATTTTTGTAGTTTGAATCTTGTATCTAATCAATGAAATCATGTAGTAAAAGGCATGCCTTTTGCCAATAATTCTACTGGACCAATGCTGACTGGGTTTCCTGCGTGGTGTTATGACAGTGACTCACTAATAACCCGAGGGAGCCCAGGGTGGTACAAATGGTTATCGTGCTGCTAGGCAAAAGGTTAAGATCCTAGTCCACCCAGTGGTGGCCTGGAAGAAGAGCCGAACCAGCCATTGAACGCCTACGGATCACAGCTCTACGCTAGCACACTTGTGATGGCCATGACCTGGAACCAACCAGATGTTTGTTGTAAAAGCTAAAAAGCAAGATAACTTGAAAGACTCCCCACAGTGACCACACAGTTGAATTAGCCTTTTATCCGCAGTGTCCATACTTGGTATCACTGCATTCCATCCTGTCAGCCTTGTGCTGGCTCCTCGTGCTTTCGTACTTGGGTTCTAGTAAGATGAAGGTAAACTCCCGGGTTCAGGTTCTCTAGCTCTATTTTAAGTCAACGATAGGTTGGTTAGAAATGGCAATGACAGCGGAAGCCAGGTTTCCCCACCTATGAAATTTCACTGCATTTATAGAAAGGATTTTGCCAATGATTTTAAATTAGCTTCTTACTTTTATTTTTTGTGTGCGATAACTGTCCCACTTAATGTATGTCCTCCCTAAGACACATCAACTGAGTTGAGAAGAAACTGGAGCAATCCCTAATATACAAGGGTAACTAATTGCCTCCTTAAAAATGCAGGATAGCACAACTGTAAAAATAAAAATCTGCTCCATGTACCCTTGAGTCCCTTAGGCAGTTTTGTCACCTTGGGGACTTAAAATATCCTTAAGGCTCCCCCGCCCCCCTTCTTCTTCTTCTCCAAGGCATAATTTCAGTTTCAGTTATTTTACTGAAAATCCAGAAGGAAAGAAAATACGAAAGAGAAAAAAAGCCTGTTTGTGGAATAGGAACCAGAATTACAGGCAATGGGCCCGGCCTTAGTGAAGGCTCTGAGAAAATACTTTCTTTTTTACCTGCTCTGTTTTCACCCAAAGCAATGTTTCGTTTTATCGATTGTCATTTGGAAAATTGAGATTTCGCATAATGTACTTGGAGATTTAAAATAGAACCATTGGGTTCATTCCATTGTATCTCGCAACATGCATTTCTAGAACAAGCTGGCTCTGGGGACACGTGTTGGGTAGCGTGTGTTTGTGGGGCCCAGCCCCTATCAGATTGGATTCCTCTTGGCAGAGAAATGTCGTTTATCTGTCTCCCCTGCAAGATGTAGACACACATGGGTACTCGCTGCATGTTCCTTGAGCCGTGAGGGAGGAAAGTATCTACCTCAGGATCAGTGAGTGCTTGTAGGTTGCTGCCGCCAAACAAGTTGTGTTCATTTTCTACAGAAATAGAGTTTCTGAAGTGTTTCTCCTTGGTCCCCTCATAAGTCAGCATCAGAAGGGCCTTCTAATAAAGTTCTTCACCCCGATTTTATATGCTGTTGATATTTTTTGTTTTATAATTCACAGTACTCCTTTCCTCTCCCCCATCCTATATGTAAAAATCACACAAAATGCCTGTAGTTGATCTGAAAATGTACTCTTAGCCAAGGACTCATCATTTTGATCTAAGTACAAAAACTCAGGGGTAAAAAAAAATTCAGAAGATGCAGCTAAAAATATATTAATATTTGACACTATAATTGATGCTGAAATGGGGTGAGTTCTTTTCCAGCCTAATTTATGATTGCACAATTTCCATGGAGCCTAAAGAAAATATTGTCGCAGTTCTTTCTCACACACACACACACACAACCAAATGAAAGAAACAAGACAACTTGAAAGCTGTTTGATGATGATGATTTCAAATTGTGTTTTAAACCAATTTTTTAATTGGTAAATTTTAAAGGACAGCATTTATAGAAAAAGAAAGTACTGTGGATTACCATGGATTAAAAAACATAAAAGGCATTAGAGCAAAATCTCTTGGGCTCTCAGTCTTGTCTTTTCCTAAGTGGAAGGGTTCTCCGATTTAAAAAGAGTCATTCAATTCCCTTAAAGTCTAGGTACTAAAAGCTATACTTTCACGCTTTGTAGTTGGCACAATATAATGGAATGAAATGTTGCCTATTACAGTGCTCTGTTCATTAAAATTTATAAACCAAACCAAGTCCATGACCATCCAGTTGGTTCCTACCCACAGTGATCTGAAGGACTGCGTAGAA